GCTTTAAGCTGCTGCTCTTGCTCTCTCAGCCAAAACCAGAAATAATTATTCAACAAAATACTTATGTGCTCTTTAAAAAAATTGGTGAAGCTGAAGTGGGCAGAGCAGCACCTCGACTTCATCTGCCTCAGTGGCTCCTTGGGGCTTTGGTGTGCTTTAGCGCAAGATCAGCAGCCAGAAGCAGGGTGTGAACCTTTGGAAGTGTATTCCAGGAGAACTCTGCAGTCACCGAGGATCCTGTGCGAGGGGTTTGTGTGGCCAGGGCCGGTCCCTGCGTTCCAGGGAACCCCCTAGCGGAGCGCTGCCGGCGCCTCAGGGGTTAATGGGAACGGGCACACTTGACTGCTGAGAGGACTGATCTAATCACTGCCATATCCAAGTGCATCTGTTCACCATGAGGTCATTCTTGTGCATGCTAATGACTTGGAAAATAAAGCACAATGCTCAGCGTTATCAGGGAGGATATAGTGTAAATCTTGGCTTTTTTAGTTGCTAATGGCTAGTGCGGAATGGGCAGAGAAAGCATCTTGGATTCTCCAGCTTAATGTTTTTAAAGAATCCTTTTCAGTAGATCATCAGAAGAGCTGTGCTGGAAAACTTGGACATGTGGTATCTGTTGATAAATGGATTCTTAAATGAATATTATGGCATTGCCCAAGCGCAACACTTGAGTCGAGGAACTATTGAGGTTTTCAGCATTCCCTGGTTTTAAAGCCCTGGGAGCTGTGCCTGCTGATTTACATAAAACCGAGATTTTGCAGCCTTTTTGTTGCAAAGGTGACACATGCTTTCCTTTTGTCTCTGGACTTTTGCATGCATAAAGTTCTTGTAGAAAATATTTGAATGTACAGCAAACAAGATCTGGCTTATTTTAAACCACTTTTTGTTCAGTGCTGAGCATTATCTTTCCTACTTTAAAGCAAAAGGATTATTTGAATTGGACATGCAGATTTAAAATAGATTTTTGACAGAAACAAAACCAAACTCAGAGAGTAATTCTTGTTTTAAACAGAACTGATGCTTTTAGTAACAGTAATTGAGCTAAGGATTCATTTTGCTTTAATTTGGTTTTTCTGGGGTTTTTATACTACTTTGGGGTTTTTGTTATTTTGTCTTTTTCCTTGAAGCGCTGTAGGTGTTTTGTCAGATCTGTGTCCATGTCCTGTGTGTGTGTATATATATATATATATATATATATATGCATACACACATATATATAGATATGTGGGATTTTTGCCTATTTTCCTGGGAATTTTAAAAACAGACCCATCTGAAACTGAGTAGCTGTGCCATGGTATTGGAGCATGTGCAGTGTGCCAGGGGTTGGGTTTAATCTGTGTGTCAGCATTGCCTGAAACAGAACAATTTGTTCCTTATAGATGGGATTTAGGAAATTCCAGACTGTCCTGGTTCCTGGCAGAACAGGGAATTGCTGCTAGCATGGAGCATGGCTGAGGTGGGACACTGCAGTGTTGGTGCTGCCATGGTGGTGCAGGTTGTCCAGGCAGTGAACAAAGAGGAAAAGCTGAGGGAAGTGGAGCAGAGGAGCCAGGACAGTTACCACAGGAGGCAGGACTCAAGGGCTTTCTCTTCTTCCTCCTTTCCTGTGAGGACTATTCAGGATGAGGCACAGAGACCTCTCCATCTGTTCACTCCAGGTAGTTCCTCATCCTCAGCAGCCTGGAGCCTGCCACAGCCGGGCTGCCCTTGGGAAGTTCCTGCAGTGCACCAGCAGAGGTGGGAGCTGCTCCTTGCCTGTGTGCTCTTGCTCATCAGTGCTCTGCCCATCATTTTCCTGCCTTAGTGTCCCCGTGAGGGTCAGGCATGTTCTGGCATTAAGCAGGGCAGGGTCACAGGTGCCACAAAGTGTTGGGGCAGCAGCTCTGTCCCCCTCCAGCTCCCAGGCTGATTGCTGCAGGGTATGCCCAGGAGCCCAGATCCTGCAGAGCCCCAAGGAAGTGGCTGCCTGCCCGGTGTGCTGGGGCTGTCCCTTGTGCCCCCACTGAGGGTGGACAGTCTGAACTCGTCCCCTGAGGCTGGGCAGGTGCTGGGACTGCTTCCCCCTCCAGCCTGATGCTCCCCTCGGGATCTCCAACGGTGCAGGGGGGTGTGAGAGCCACATCAGGGTTCTCAGCCTGGCCCCCTGCCTTTCCCATGTAATTAATTGGCTCACAGGGTGCTCCCCCAGCTAGGCTCTCCAGGAGAGGAGGTGCTGAGGGAGGGTTTATCCCGGCAATCAGGGCTGGGATGGGCAGAAATATGAGCTTGATGGGCCGTCTCTTCTGCCCAGTGACAGCTCCAGCTGCTCGAGCTGTCAGCTCGCAGAAGGCTCCAGGCAATGTGGCCCCTTTGCATTTTCCCTCTGCACTGAGGGGCTGGCAGAGACCTGCAGCAGAGGCAGAGCAGAAATGGGGCAGAGCTGTCCTGCAGGGCTTGGGCTGCCTCGCCTGTGACACCCACATAACCCCCAGCACTTGGGGTCCCCCTGCCTGAGGCTGAGCCTTGCAAAACTAATCAGCAGCTGCTCCAACTTGAGAGTAATTAAACTTCAATGTGTACATTTCAGGCTTATTTCCGAGGTGCTCAAACCCTGGAGGCCCACAGAGGTGCCAGGCACTCCCACCTGAGCTGGGAGCTGTGGGTGCTGTTTTAAGGCCCATTCTGCCCCAGTTATTAACTTGTAGTGTCAGATTCTCTTTACTGTATCACTTACAGCTTTCCAGGGCACTGGAGGAAGTGTGTGGCTTTAACCCAGTTTCAGTTATCCATGGGTTTTTCTACACAGGCTCAGGATGCTGCTTACAGTGTGCTTGAAGCCTGTCTTTGGCAGTTGGAAGCAGGAATACTGTGCAGAGTTATGACAACGATTCTCTGGAATTTTATTACCTTTGCATTTACTAGGAAGGAAAACAAAGATTTCCACAGACCTGTCCTGGCAGAAAGGCTAATAGGGGATTGGAACAGTTCACAGCCCATGTGAAAACTTCATGGTTCTTCTCAAGTACCAGTCTTCAGCATCCTTACAGGTTATGTTCTTACCCACCCTTGCTTTCAGGGGTGTTCAGCTGCTTCATGAGCAGTGGCTAAAATGCCATTCCTAGAGCACATGCCCTGGGGAAGGAACCAGGTTTATTCTGTAAACTGGATTTAAGATGCAATACACCATCTCTCTCTGGCTTCCTGCAAGGTAACCTTGCATTTAAAGTGCCATCATCTATATTTTAATTCTGTTTTTAATCCCTCCTGCAATAAATGTATTTTAAAAGCTTAATGCTCTCTAAGCAGCCTCACCTGTGAGAGGCCCTCCACTCTGTGTGTGTGTGTGTGTTAGTGCAGGTGTGTGACTGCTCATGGACAGGTTTTATGCATTCAAGGACTTCTCTTCTGGCACCAGGATGGCTACACTGCTCACTTCCTGGAGTTTTAACCTGGCTATAGTGTCACAGATATCTAGGTCTCCATGAAGCCTCAAATTTTAGTCAGTTTTAAATGGTGTGACCAGCAACAGTGCTGGACATGGAGCTGAGGCATGAAGGAGCTGCACGCCACCATCACACAGCAGCAGGTTTGACAGAAGATGAAGCACATTGAATATTCATTCCAATTTTTGCCAACATTCCCTCCTTGGTTATTTCAGTCCTCAGACCCCAGGAGAAAGTGCATGGGGGTGTGTGTTTCTGCAGGTCCCTGAGGGGAGCTCCCCTTCCTGCCTTTAATGGGGTGTGCTGTGTCAGGTTGATGCAACCACAGCAGTCACAGGGTGCTGGTCCTGCACTGACATGGTTTTGTTTTCCCCCTTTGGTCCTGCACTGACATGGTTTTGTTCCCCCATTCTGGTCCTGCACTGATGTGGTTTTGTTCTCTCCCTTTAGATTAGCGTGTTAATGCTCTCGGTACAGTAACAGCCACAGGTAAGAGCGATGCTTCCCGCAGGCCCCTCTGCTGTGGTTCATCAGGAACAGCTCTCCTTGCCCTCCTCCTCCCTTGCTGCCTCTGCTCCATGCTCAGCTCTATCTCCTGTGCTCCATGCTCAGCTCACACCTCCTCTGCCCAGCCTCCCATGCTCTGTGTTCATCCTGTACCTCCCAAACTCCACGTGCAGTTCTGCCTCCTCTGCTCTGCACGCGGTTCTGCCTCCAGGGTGCAGTTCTGCCGCCTACAAACACCACAGTAAAGCCTCCTGTACATTAATGCCCACAATATGTGTACAGTAATGCCATCCCATGATCTGTGAACAGTACAAACTCTCTATGTGCCAGGTAATGCCTCCCATGATCCACACACGGTAATACGTCCCACGATATGTGCCTGGTAATTATTTTTTACTTCTAAGCTGCTTCAGCTTGTCCATTTGGAGAAAACTATTATTTTGACCATCTGCCATCCTGCCTCACTGCAGGAATGTCAAGCACAACACCTCCCTCGAAGCCCTTCCCTCCCCCACGCTTTTCTCCCCAGCCAATAGCACCACAGGTTTTGTTTTAATCCAAAGTTGACAGCTCTCCATTTTTCACAGAAAATGCCTTTACAGGCTAAGTCACACTTTCCACCTTTTTAAAATGTGCTATTTCCCCTCAGACAGTTTTCTCAAAGAACCAATCTGGTAAGTAAGGGCTGTCTTTGAGATGCAAACGCAGGGCTGCAGGCAGGCTGAGGGGGTTCACACTTTGGGCTGTGCTGCTGCTGTTCCACTCCTGCTTTCAGTCACTCAAGCACCCAGAGCTGCTCAAGCACAAGCACAGGTTACATCTCACCTTGGAAGTGCAGCCCAGAGCCAGGGTGAGTCTTTGTCCTCAGGCAGCAGCTGAGGGCTCATCCTGCTGCCACACTGACCTGTGGCCATGTCCCCACCTGTCCTGCAAGCACAGTGCCCTGCTCACCTGTACCCGAGGGCCAGCTCAGCCAAGACCCAAATGCTGCATTTTGGGGCATTTTGTGCACGTTTGAGATTTACCTGGATTAGGAAAGTGAAGGGAGGATGAAGAGCTGGGCCTGGCCAGGCACAGCTGAGAATGGAGTCAGTTGCTGCACTGGAAGTGGGTCTGTGCTTCAAAACACAACCATCCCTCAAGGAAGTTCAGAAGGGATGCCAAAGGTGCCAGCCTTCAGAGAGGGTTCAGAACATTCCTGTGCTCTCCCTGCCTGGTTCTAAGGCTGTTCCTCCCTCCTACCTGTAATAAAAAACTTGTGTTTACACTTCGGGAGAGAATTGCAACGTGGTTTAAAAAATAGTGTTTCCTTAGGGAGCCGATGAAACACTTCCCTGGGAAATGCCTTGGGACAGGTCAAGCCCTCAGGAGCAGGGCAGGGCGTGTCCTTCACAGAAGCTACACCTGGATTTGGTCATTAGTGCCTAATTTAATGACCATGTGCTCACCTGTTCCCCCTCAGCTAGCCTGGGCAAGCCTGGCCTCCAGGGAATAACCAACAGGTGACTCCACTCAACAACAAAGCATAACCCCCCATACCCACAGCCCCCCAAGACCCTTCCCCAGTGGTGGCCATGAGCACCAGTAACAAGGGTACCTGTTATGTAGTGGAAGAAATTGTGATTCTCTAGAATTTTTCCAGAGGTTAAGGCACCTTCCAGGGAGAATTCTGTGCCAGCCCTCATGCTGGGAATGCTTGTTTCCAGCTCTCTGTAACAGGCCAAACACACAAGAACAGTTTAATGACACACAGCAATAAACAGATTTGTATCACCCACACAGAACTACTTTATGTTGGAGCTTCAAGTGTGGAGGATAGGAGCTTCCCACCTCCCTCCCATGGGGCTGTGGGGCCCTGAGAGCCACTGGGGGCTGTGCAGACCAAAAGGGGGTGATGCTGGGGGGCTCAGTGCTCACCTGGACACCCATGGCCTCTCAGGGCTCTTCACTTCTGGGAGCTGGCAAAGAGAAATCCCTGCTTTCTCTGGGAAGCATAGTGTGGCAGTTCTTCAGCTGCCTACAGCAAATTCCTCCTCTGGAGGTCAAGTTCACCTGAGTGATCCCAGGGGAGGGGCTGAGCTGTGCCACACAGTTATTCTGAGGACGCAGCTGGTTTTCCTGACTGGGTTTTCCTTGCCTGCTCTGTTTTCCAGGCTGCCTCGCCACAAGTGCAAGCGCCGACCTCGCTGACACCGCTGGCGTCGAGCTGGTGGAGCTGCCCCTGCTGCCACGTGCCTCCAGGAGCAGGGAGGGTCTCTGGGAAGCTCTGCCAGCACCCTCAGCAAGGTGTCCACCTGAGACCCTGGACAACAGAGCTGTGGCTGGAGCAGCCCACAGCACCTGAGCACAGATCAGAATGGGCAGTCTGGGTGAATATGTCTTGAAGGGGCTGGGTGAGGGGTTTGCTCTGTGAAATGGCCCTTCCCCAGTCTGGTCAGACATGGCTGGGGACAGGATGTCACCTGTGTCACCACCACCACTGCACTGGCACCAGGTGAGCAAGGGCCCCAAGCCCCTGGGTGCAGGTGCTGCAGCCAGAGGTGAACCAGCACTGAAAGTAGTTATTTAATGTACCCTTAGAGCATGGCTTTAGTCATTCCAGGCAGCACTTACCTGTGCATTAGGGAATTTCTTCTAAAGAGAGGCTTTCCTGTGACTGGCCAGGTAGCAGATGTTCCCTGCTGGAGCACAGGTGGATGAGGAAGAGCTCTCCAGTTGGTGCTGTCCCACTGTGGGAGTGCCGTGGCCTTTCTGTGCTGTGTGCAATGGCTGTGCACTGGAGCTGCTCCCTAGAGAAACAAAAATAAGCAAATCCCTTTTAGAAGAACAAAAGCCACACTCCTGCCATGACCCCTTCCCAGCACAGAGTGAACAAGTGGGTAACCTCCTCACCTTGTCCCAGCAGGCTGTGACCTGTCTCCAGCCAGAGTACAACACAGCTGAAGGCTTCTGAGGACTCTGTGTGCCTTCCTGGCACCTGCTGTAGTGAGCAGAGCTCCTGTTGGCAGTAGCTGATCTGTTTTGGTTTACACATTTCGTAGGCTGATGGGGTGAAAATTGTTATAGTTAAATCCCAGGTATTTTAAAGCAGCAGAAATCTGAGATGCAGCAGCCACAGAGCCCTGTCCTGCTGCTGCTTGGTTGCTCCTGGGCACACACACACCCCCCCACACCTCCCAGCAGAATGGGAGCTGCTTTGAGCAAAGGGATTGCATTTTTGGGAAATGTGCCGTTGGGCCCCCATCTGTTTTTGCACTTACACTTGGTGTTACAGCCATCTGTCTGTCTGACCATCTGAGTGCCAGCACCTGGCCAGAGGCCACCCTGTGCCCGTGGGGCACATTCCAGCCATGGCCAGTGATGCCAGTGTGCTCTGTGCCCAAGGGGCAGCAGCTCAGCCTCAGTGCCCAACAGGAACTCACCTGGTGCAGCTGCAGGAAGGAGCCTCTGCCACTGAGGCTCACTGGTTTGATTTTCTGCCTCAACCCACAGTTGGGTTTTGCTTTCTGTTGATTTTCTGTCAGTGAAGGAACCTAGAAAATAAAACATGTATTTTAATTTATTTTACATTCAGGGCCGGACAGGCAAGGCTGTCTGGCACTTAGTTAACTAATAGCTGGTCTGAAACAATTTCAAAGGCATCCTTCTGAGTAAGGAGCCCTTTCTCCTTAGAGCAATATGTACCTCTAATTCAGGGAAGAATTAAGACATCAATGAAAATCATGTTTTCCTGATGTCAAAAAACTGTTAATTTGTACAAACCCCGCTGTGGTTTTGCACCCTGAACTGGATGACAAAGCCACTCTGTTCCCCCTCACAAAGTGAATAAATCTTTGCTCACAATAAAATTTTTCCCCAGAGCAATAAAAGGCAGTACCTGTGTGGTGTGTGGCAGCGGTGGGAGGTGCTGAGGCTGGAACTCGATGGCACTGGTGGTGCTGCAGGTGCCATGGGTGTGCAGGCTGGCTCACAGGGACAGGGACAGTCCCTGCTGGACGTGGTTCTGTCCCTCGCTGCAGGAACAGCTGCCAGGTGTGCAGCAGGCAGTGGTGCTCCCAGACCAGAGTGCTCTTGAGGAGTTCACACCACGCTGTGACTGGCACAGGGGCACCCACGCTTGTGCCCTGCAGGTCCCACATGGCAGCAGTGCCCTCTGCCACCCTGCAGGGTGGCACCTCCTGCCAGCCCAGCCCTGCCCATGGTGCCAAGCACAGAGACACTTTTGGGGCCCCCAGAGCCACTGTCCATAACCTGCTTCCCTGCAATGTCTCATGACCCAACCACCCACGTTAAAAACAAGACGTTTTTAGTGGTGCACTCTACAGTGACATTCCTTAAGCAAATGCAGGGGGCTGCACTCAGCCATAACAATGTCTGAAAAGACAAAGGAAAGTTCCCTTCTTTTGCTGAAGAGCCACAGCAAAGTCCTCTCCTGAATTGCTTTCAGGTGCTCAAAGCAGAAATGGAGAGTGAATCCAGCTAGCTCCAGATAAAGCTCCCTTTGCAGAATTAACTGCACACACTGACAAGCTGCTGGGAACCCAGCTCCCACCCACCTGTCCCAAGGAGGATCCCAGGCCCAGCACCACCACCCTTGGAGTGGAGAGCAGGCTGGGGCTGCTGCTCTGTGCACTCGGGGGCTGTGCTGGCACCCTGGCAGCAGCCAGGCCAGGGCAGGCTCTGGCTGCAGGGCATGTGGCTCTGCACAGCCTGGCACGGCACCCAGGGGGCTGGGGACACAGGCAGGACACTGCCACAAGCAAGGGGCTGCAGCAGCACTGGCAGACCAGCCCAGCATAGGGCAGGAACTTGGGCCCAAGGCACCCCCAGCTCTACACCGATGGCAGCAGCTGCTAAACGGCATTAAAATAATCTACTAAATTAAATAATATATATATCATATACATAAATATATATATATAAACAAGCTTAAAGGCTAGTTTATACTTACCATGGAGTTCCAGAATGGATGGCGTTGGAAAGGAACTTAAGTTCATCTCATTCCACCCTTACAATGGGCAGGGACACTTCCCACTGTCCCACTGTCAAGCCCTGTCCAACCTGCCTTGGAACACATCCAGGGATGGGGCAGCCACAGCTTCTCTGGGCACCCTGTGCCAGGGCCTCCCCACCCTCACAGCCAAGAATTTCCTCTCAATATCCCTTTAGTTATACTTTCAGCTTTAGAAGGATGCCTAACATTTTTTACAAACATTTGTATAGGTATTATCTTATTCCTACACCCATTAATATGCTCTCTTTAACTACAGAATATATATTAGGGATCTCATCCTATGTTCTATATTGTATGCTGCAGTATTTCAAAATATATATCTAATGTTAGATGTTATTCATGTCTATATGTTTCTATTAGCTAGAATATATATTATAGGCATTAAATACACACAGATACAATATTATTACATTAAGGAAAATATATGCAATCTGTGATCTATAATCTAGGTGTAATACAAGATATATATATATATATAATGTGATATGCATTATATATTATAAAATGTATTATAATATATGCACTAGATGCATATATTATATAAAATAGATGATGATGATGATGATGATAATAATAATAATACCTATTAATATATTCTATAAATATTGAATATAAAGGTAATAAATAATTTTTTAAAAAAATTGGTTATAAGTTACATAAATACAAAATATTACCTTTACATTATACATGTATATCTACATATGCACACATCCCTGGGATATATTTCAGCTATATGTACATATCATGACAAAAACTATAACATTACTTTGCTAACTGTAATACTGTGTGCAAATACATGCAGTATACTTTTCTTTAAAATGTATATAAGAAAATCATATAAATCATATCAGCAATGTATGGATTCTATATAACATGATATGATGTGCATCATGGAGTATTCAGTGCACTACAAAGATACAATAATATTATTTCAGACCATGATTTATGTGTATGAATAGTTGATATGCCAGGTGTGCACACCTCCACTCTGTCCTGCACAGCACACAAATCCTGGCTGCAGAGCTGACAAAACCTCCTGTCAGACAAGATTGTTTAACTACATCAACATTGGTACTGTATCAGTAATTTTGTATGATGCATAGATGATATTATGTACTGTAGATAATATATTTAATATGCATTGTCTAAGTGGCAATATATAACAGACATATATTAGTATCCATTGTATAATATAATATGCTTTGATATAATACATGTAATAGATTATTACATTTATATATAGTGTAATATATTATTACATGTAATATATTATTGCATTACCTACAAATTACCTATTATTATTACCTGTGTTACTTCCTACATATTCTGAAGTTTACTTATATAAATCATTTATATTGAATATACTGCTATAAAAAGAATATATTTTTTACATTTATTTTATCACAGAATCCTAGAATAGTTTGGGTTGGAAGGACACAATAAAGCTCATCTCATTCCACCCTTTCCATGGGCAGGGACACCTTCCACTATCCCAGGTTCTCCAAGCCCCATCCAACCTGGCCTTGGACACTTCCAAGGATCCAGGGGCAAATGCAAAATATAATTCATTCTATGTAATAAATTCTGATTTTCTTCTGTGTGTGTGTAACCAAACCAAAACCTCCCAGCTCAGACACCCTCAACTGTATATCATTTTCCTCACATTTGTCATTGGACTGATAATTCACTATAGGTAATTGAACTGGTAATAACACTATAAGTAATTTCCCTCTAAAAAACTCTAAAAATGAGCCAACAAAAACACCATGGTCCCATACCCTGAGAAAGCAGAATCTGTTTTAACCTGCAGCTGAACCTGCAGCTGGTTAAATCCTCCCTGTCACTCACCTTCCCCATTCCCTAAGGAAGGCTGAAAAGCCTCTGCAGAGCCGTACAGCACAAGAGCCAGGCAGGAACAGGCTGGGCTGTGCATGCCCTCGCCCTCAGAGCTGCGAGGGGGCTTTATTAGAGCTTAAAAACAGTGGATCTTTTTAAAGAGGAACAGGTGGTTTAGCTGGGCCTGGCTGCTGCAAATAATGTCCCAATTACCGTGTCCTAGGAGGGCTCCTGTGCCGGTGTGGGGCTCCTGCTGCTGCCACTGTGCCCATCTTTGTCCAGCTTCAGTCCCTGGCTGCCTGCTGAGGAGAAAACAGCATGGTCACATCAGCACTGGGGGCAGCCCAGCATGTGGATCCAATGGCACAGCTAAGAATCAAACCTGGCAGTGTCCAGTGTGGACAGCCCACACTTGGCATGTCCCATCTCCATGATTAATGTTGCCAGAGGCAGACCTTCGTTATGTGGACTATAAATGACATTTTATTTAAACCATTTATAGCCCCAATGAGGCTTCTTACCTGCACGGAAGGATCTGAGGTGTTTAATGCCATTTGCAAGGATGCACCTGCAAACCCAGATCCTTCACCAAGGGGAGATGCCCTGGGTGCTTCAGGGAGCTGCTGACCCACCCAGCCTAAAACCCTCACCACAGCCCAGCACTCCTGACCTGGGAGCAATGGGCAGGAGGTGTGTTGGCACCAGCACACCGCAGCACCCTGTAGCACCCTGCAGGTGTGGCACACCCCAGAGAAACACCTGTGACTCCATGAGCCATTTCCCAGCTCATCAACAGCAACACCTTTTTTTAAACAGGCTTGTGTTGCGCGAGGAAGAGTGAAATCCAAGGGAAAAGCCAATCAATGTTAGTCCTGTTCCCAGGCTTGCCCCAATCCCATGGATACCTCCCAGCTGCCCACCCCAGAAACAGACCAGGAGGTGCTGGGCAGGGCCTCCCAAAACCCTGAGCTGTCCCCAGCTGTGTTTCCCAGTGAGTGCATCCAGCAAGGCAGCTGACAGATGCCTTACTGCACTGATGGCTACGAGGGACAGTGGTGTTGGTACCAAAACCTGTAAAAACCTTCCCTGGGGACAAGCACCCTCCAGAGAGTCTTCCCCTGTGGACAGGAGCAAGAGCAGGGCAGGAGCAGCTTGCCCCAGGTCCCCAGCAGCTCTGAGCCCCTGGGGCAGGGATGGTGTCCATGCTGTATTTTCAGGAACCTGCAGGTTCCTCTATCCAATCTCCCTTTCCCTGTGCTCACAACACTCAGTCCCAGACCACACATTTGGCTCTCAGCATGCTCAGAGAGGAGGAAAGCTCCAGCAGAGCAGGCAAACCCCTCTGCCTGAATGCACAGACCATGAGCAACCTCTGCACCAGCTGCCTCCACTGCGTCATATTTGGGGCAGGATCAGTGTTTTCCATGGTGCCCAGACCTGTTCCTGCTGGATGCACTGAGAGCCATCAGCAGTTGATTTGTTAGCTGACGGCAGGAGGCTTTGTTTGCGCAGCGCTGCCCGGCCGTGCTGCCAGGTGGCCGGGACGTGGCACCCACCAGGCAACACCTGCATTCCCAGGGTCTGCACTGAGAGCACTCTGGGT